GCCAATCATAACGCACTGGATAGCTGGCCAATCAGAGCACACCTCGCTTTTCAGACCGATGAGCTTTGTAAAAATCGATGCGTTTCAGAAAGTCTGAATAAGCTCTTTTGCACTACAATCATTATATCTGCACTGTTGTTTACTTCACTGGTTTGCACTCTATCTGCCATGCGCCTTGTGCTGCTTTATATATTTTTTTACATTTTACCTTATTTGTATAATTGTATAGTTGTATTTTATATTTAAATCTGTATCTATCTGTATTTATGTTCTACTGTTAGTGTTATCTGTATGCACCAAGGGTCTGAGAGTAACGCAATTTCAATTCTCTGTGTGTATGTGCTGTACATGTGGAAGAATTGACAATAAAGCAGACTTGACTTGACTTGAAAGGTGGGGGATAGAGGAGAAACAATAATATACAGTATGTGGAAAATAATGTTTTTTTTAACCTTAAACTGCATAAACACATTTCATTACACCAAATACACAAAATAATGTTCTTTTTAGCAGCATCATATGACCCCTTTAAGTCTACTTGAATATATTTTAAAATGTAACTTATTTTGATGCAAAGCTGAATTTTCAGCATGATTACTCCAGTCTTCAGCAGTGTTGGTGGTAACGCATTACAGGTAATGTGAGTTACGTAATCAGATTACTTTTTTTCAAGTAACTAGTAATGCATTACTTTTAAATTTACATCAAAATATCTGAGTTACTTTTTCAAACAAGTTACACAAGTTACTTTGTTTTCCCATTTATTCACTGACTCCTCTCCTGTCCCTTGTTGAGAGAAATTAGGTGTGAGGTGCAGAGGCACATCCTTCAGCCTATGCCTTATTCATTTCACTTTTGGTGTGACTGTACAGTTGCTAAAAATATAACTTTAGGGTTTTTTTGTTATTATAAATAAGCAAGCCCAACTTAGGTGACAAGTAACAAAAAAGTAACCATGCATTACTTTCCAAATAGTTACTTTTTATGGAGTAATGCAATATTGTAATGCATTACTTTTAAAAGTTACTTTCCCCAACACTGGTCTTCAGTGTCACATGATCCTTCAGATATCGTTATGATTTGCTGATTAAGAAGAACATTTTTATATCAGTGTTGAAAACAGTTGTGCTTAAGACTTATTTTAGGAACATAATGTCTTAACTGCCACTTTTCAGCAAGAATTAATTGAATTGATCAGGTTTTCACTTCTTTGAAAAGGAGAAATCTTACTGTCCCCAACCTGAGCTTTTGAACAGTAGTGTACATGCAGTCTCAAGCTTTCATGTTTTGTCATGTTAAATTAAGGTGAGTGCCTCTGTATTGTTTCTTATTTTTCATTTCCCCCCCATTGTGTGTGAGCAGAAGGAGCCACGTCGGCGCAGTTACAACAGCACTCTGACGATTCCTCATGTCGTGAGGCCTGTGGAGGAAATCACTCGGGCTGAACTGGACAACATCTGCGTCAACGTCAGAGAGAAGATTTACAACCGGGCCACTGTAAGTCTCCTTCAGCATGAAGCTTTTACTATCACAGCACCGGTTCAATACCCAAGCCTTCATTTCTCAGCTTGTTTGAAGCGCTGCAGACTCTTCATGAGCGTGTGGGCTGTGCTTCTGTCCATCAGGGTTCCACCTGCCATCAGTGTCGACAAAAAACAACCGACACCAAGACCAACTGCCGCAACCCAGAATGCGTGGGTGTTCGCGGGCAGTTCTGCGGGCCTTGTCTTAAGAACCGTTACGGAGAAGATGTCCGTGATGCCCTCCTGAACCCGGTTAGTGACGTTTTCCAGTCTTTAAGCACATTGTGAAAGCATTAGCACCAGCATATGGGTTATTTTGATCAGATCAGCTAGCATTTTTCTAAACGATTACATCGTTTTGCTGAGATGTCGTTGTTTTCTTCTTCTAGGAGTGGCTTTGCCCCCCGTGCAGGGGCATCTGTAACTGCAGTTTCTGCCGTGCCAGAGAGGGCCGCTGTGCTACAGGTGTGCTCGTGTACCTGGCCAAGTACCACGGCTATGACAATGTCCACGCTTATCTGAAAAGGTATGTAGCTGTGTTCCAAAAATGTATGGGCTGCCTATCTAGACGGCATTTTAAAGCATCACAGTTGCTGTGTCTGTAGACCACTCACTAAGTGACTGTTGTCAGAACTGTTGTGTCAGTCACTTGGTGGCTTTTGGGTGAATCTATGAAAGCGTAACCGTGACCTCTGACCTTTCTCCACAGTTTAAAGAAGGAATTGGAGGAAAGTGAATAAGATGGTTGCCACGTTCTACGGAGTCCAACCATAACCGACATCATCCTCAAGTGTCTTAATCGTTGTCGTGTGATTCACAGAGCCTCCTTAAACCTGCTGCAGGTTCAATTTGAGTAGACCGTTGTGTTGTCTACATGAAATCCTTAAGTTTGCATTGTTTTAAATGTATCTTTTTTTTTTTTTTCTTCAAAGGGAATGTTTTTATCTCTGTACTGTGTTGGGAAATCTGACAATTGTTGGCTGCAATACTTGTTGTCTTTGCTGTTTTTTACCATGATTTTTCCAATCTGTAAGTTCTCCAGACTCTGTTATAACTGCGCAATGTACTGCTGTAGTACTTGAATAAAATTTGCTCTTTTTAAGTTCTGTTATCTTTGTGGGAACATGTTCATGTTTTGTTCTTTTGAAAATCTTATACCATTTTTAACAAGTTGTGATTTGATGTTAATGTTTTCCCTGACATCTTCAATAGATGTAATTATTAAAGACATGTACAATCTAAACTGAGAGCTAATTGAAGAATGTCATTTTACAGTAAATGTTTTTTTTTTTTGTAGTCATGCCAAGCATTAATATTTTATTGGGCAGAAACTGTAAAATCCTAATCTTCATCTAGTAACTCGCAAACAAATTTGTTCTTTTTCTGAGGAAAATGGCAACATTTTGGTTAAACAATGCTGAATTATTCTTTTTTATTCTTATTCTTTTATCTATTTCAACAGAAATTCAATCATGAAGGAATATTGTGGTGATTTGAACATGCCCTCAGCTCTTGCCCCTCTGTGCCCCTGTGGGTTAAGAGGGCATAAGTAGGGGGATGGGGGGCTATTACCCCCCCAACCAGAACCCTGCAGAGGAGAATGGAGCGCTGTGATATAGTGCAGTCTGCTCGCATCCCTCATTAGAGAGCTGCTACTAATGGTGTGGAAATAATTAGCAGACTCTAATGGGAAATCTTATACCCTGTGAAGAATTTTTCCCTGTTAAAGCTCTGTCACAACCCTCAGCTCACTCGTTCCTTGCTTTTTTCCATCCTCTCATTGAGATCGCCACGGACTTGCTGATTTTCTGATATAAAACACTGCTTTAATAATACAGCTTTCACATTCATAGCATGGTGTTGTGTGCAAGTACCATGGTATTACCGTCACTGTACCATGGTACCACCAATTAAGTTTGTGAGTGCTGTATGAAGCTCTGGACAGTGATAGATGCTTTCTCACCCAAAATGTCCACAGTACACGTGACTTTCAGTCTTGCTGAACATCATGAGCTCTTGATCAGTGGTTTCCTGGATGGATTCAGGCAGGGGTGCCTGCAGGATTTCATCTGATGGAAAAAATTAAACTAAAAAGTTCAACAGAAGCTCTTTTTACAAATTCAACTCTGAGAGAACTTCATTTTCTTTATTATTTTTAGCAATCGTGTAACTTGCACTTCTGTAAGACTTCAGACCACTGAGAGGTATCAGCGCACATAAGCAGAATGACTGTCTCTAAACATGCTTTTAACGTTTTAAAACACAAGAACGGCGAAAAGAAACGAAATGGACAAAAGGCATCCATATAGTACGTTCACATTGGAAAACAAACACTTTTGCTGTGAATGGCCACTTATTCACGTGACACAAAAGTAGGCCTAACTGAATTTTCTCGACGTTACCTCAAAAATGAGCTTTGTTTCGGTATCCACTTCATCCAGCGCTGTTTGTTATCTCAATACTGTCTGTTTGATACAAAGCGGATTCCAAATCTTCAATACCTATCTTGCTTGATCTGTCCGCTTCACAACACCTTGTTCAAGCTCTTGTTCGCCTTTTTTTTTTTTTACATTTTCTGGTCCCAGTGGAAGGCTTTTACCAAGGTATCAAAGTTACAGTACAGTAGTAGCTGTATAACTATGGTATTTTGATGTCAATGCTGGTTTCTTTTGTCAGTGCAGTCTATGTTTCATGCCCATTTCCCCCAGAATGCTCCGTTTTTAATTCTGAGAGTGAATCTTTTCGTATCTGCAGGAAACAAACGCTTCAAAAGTATTTATTTGCATAATAAAGATGCACTCGAAAATACTGGTATTAAATACCAATGATCATCCACTTTAGGGTGATGAATATTTAGGGAAATAATTGTTTACGACGCTCGAGCGTCGAGCTGATCTGGTAATCAGGCTATGAAATACAATATTTATTCATTAGAGCGAACTTAATGAGGCCTCGCGGCGCTAATTATGAAAAGCAGCGTAGCGCTAAATGAGCGCGGGAGAGACAGGAGCGCGCGCTTTTCTTACCTGTTTCCCGCGCTGCAGGGTCAGCGGGCGTCACGGAGCTCTGCGTGATTATGTGTGATGGCCCCACAAACGCTGCAGCATTGCAGCACGGACTGGCAGAGGCAGGAGTGCTCGTGACTGCTGTTGTATCCGTGATTAATAATTATATGTGGAATATTGAGTATTTATTATGAGCCCCTTTTCATTGCGCGTTGTTCAGATGTGTGCTTCTGTTTGCCTGTTGAGAAGAGAGACCAGAAGAGTGAACTGCTCACACAATCTCCCGCGGTTAAACATTGATTGAAAGAGCAGGAGGAACAGAAGGGGTGAAATTAGATTTCTAGCTAGTTGATATGAGAGCACAGAGTATAATAAGATATATATTTCACTTTAATATATTAGGATGCATCTTATGCTCCTTTAGGTTTCACATTAGTGAACACAGAATCCCTGCATACTGCCTTCTATTCAAAGAACACTGCCTTTTAAAAAGTACAACTCTTCATGTTATTAATAATAATAATACTAACCATCATCATCACCATCATAAAAATGATAAATATTTAAAATAATAATTATGTGATTGTTTTCACTGATAAATGTAAACATTTCTTAGGAATAGCAAGCATAATATTATTATTTATGCAGTATATAGTACGTTTACTGTGCACAGTTTGCAAATTTTCTGTATGGATGCATAAAAGTACTTTAAAAAAAATGAAAAAACGATCCCATAATGCAATGAGCTCAACTTTCCATTTGCAGTGTGATTATGAACAAAAGTAATTAGTCACAATTTTAACCTGTATTTTAATAATGCATATTGTTTCACTTGATGATAATAATAATAATAATTATTATTATTGTTGTTGTTGTCTTTCTGGATAATAATAACTTATTAATAGTATTAGTTATTATTAATAACTATTATTATAACTATTATTATTGTTATTACTGTTATTGTTGGTGGTGTTTTTTATTATTATTATTTGAAATAACAAGCAGCATGTACTGTATTCAGTTATAGCAAGCAAGTAGTTCATTCTGAAGTATTAGTCTATTCTGGGTCAAGAAAAATAAGTTAAAAATCATGACTGATATTAGGCCTACTTAAGGTTCATTTGTCACACTGGAAATGGAAGGTCAGATGCATTGTGGGATATACTGTTCCATGAAGTGTGCTCTGTGGTATACTGCACATCTGAGCAAATGCATTAAGTCATTTGACATCATGCATACATTATCTGCATACTATGCACAATGTGCATAATGGAGACTGCAGTAAGAGTAAGAGCGCTGTAGTAGTCGAGCAGGTCACAGCTCTCTGGACTGGACTGCATGCTGATCGTCTGAGGTTTCTGGGATTGTATGACAAGTCCCCATCAGTGCTAGTCCAGCTCTGCGTGCTGACGCTAACAGCAGTTATCAGGGAGAGACGCCCGACTGCAGAGGTTCCATCTCACAGGAAATTGCTAACTCACCCTAACAAAAGAAAGCACAAGTGCACTCACAGTGCAGTCCTCAGAGCAAGCCAGATAACATGACATTATAAACAGCATTACTCAATCATATAGTGCTAAAATATTATAATATTACTGACTACAACTTATAGATAAACAGAAATAAATATACAGAGAGAGCATTTGTTTGAGATTGATCTCAGGTTTGATTAATTCCAGTCTGAGGAGGTGCAGTGCAGTGTTGCTCCTGAAGGGGGAGCTCTGATACAGCAGTCTTCACACCTGTCACACAGAGCTGGACTAGCTGGACATTTCAGCTCTTCCATTAGGGTCTGAATTGTGTGAGTGCATAGAAGCCTCATGTTTGTAGTCTAAAATTATAGCATCAACCAGGAGGGTTTCGGCCACCAAAGGGGAAATTATATTGTAGGTTAGACTTAGACAGCTTGCTGGTCAATGAAAACCCACAATGGTAAACCTTTAGTTGGATCAAAACACAAAACTTTTATGTAATACAAGACAATATATATGTTAAAAATTAACTCTTTTTTTTTTTTGTAATGAATTGGAGATTGGTTGGAAATTTTTATCTTAAATTTTCTTTACTTTGCCTTAAAAGGAAGGAAGAAGAACCCCTGATATAATACATTATATATATACAGTATATAAGAAATCAAAGTATTTTAATGCACTAAAATGTGATTATTTAAATTATTTGGTTTGCAAACATAATATACAATATATGAAGAATATAAGACAAGGCATACTTATGGAGTTGTGAATGTCAGATGTTCAATTACATAAAATATCATCATCGGTTTCACAGTAATTAAACTTAGGAAAATATGATTATTATTATTAATCAATCTGATGTGCTACTGCAGAGATCTATGTTTTAAGCAAAAGAAGCTTTGTTTTTAGATTCTGAATTAGGGTAAACAAGAGTAAAATAGTTAAGTTAACCTTCTGAACAACAACGAACTAAAAAACAAACTGCAAGGCTGAAAGATTCTTGCAAATGATAAGTACATTTATTATGTTTGATTTGTGCATGACTGGCAGAGACTGGCCAGCAGTGTGGAGGTGTGTGGAGTTATGCAGGAGTGTAATGTCCGACCGTAAGAGAGAGCGAGTGCAATGGCCGGGTTTTATTGAGCTCATCCGTTACTCTCTCAGCTGTGATGTGAGGCACTGGTAAGCTTCATTAGTTTTTACCTCATTAATCTGCTCTCTCATAATCTGTAACACACAATTCACCTCAGTTCATTACACCACACGGCCCGTGCCAGAGGCCTTCATTCACATACAAATATACTATTTCATAAGGATTGTTGGAAAACAAACAATTAAACATTTCATTCATTTAATTTTAATTCAACTCAATTGTTATGAGTATTTAATGATATTTTGTAAACATTTAAATAATTTAAAAATAATACAAATTGATCTAATAATATGAACTTTTAGGCAATATTCTTATGCACTCTCAACAATCTCATTACATTAAAATAAAATAAAATACAAATTTTGTGTTTTGTGTGTGTGTGTGTGTGTGTGTGAGAGTGCGTGCGTGCGTGCATGTGTGTGCGTGTGTGTGTGTGTGCGTGTGTGTGTGTGTGTCCTCGTGTGTGCT